TGCAGTACCATATTTACTCATGATTGGAGAGTTAGTTATGGTATGCAATTAAAAAGTGTCAGGTGATGAGGGTAAAGCACATACATTTGCTAAATATTTCAAGAATCTTCAATCACAATTTCTAGAGTAGCCATTGGTATTTAGAGCAGAATTTTATCTCCCACTTTCTTCTTCACCAGCTTTTCACATAGAGGGATGCTCCTCTAGATAAGTTATCTGCACTCCCTTCTCCATTGCTTCCACAGCACTTGCTTCCATTTTCCCCCAGCAAGCTTCTGGCCTCTTTAGTCTCCCTCTTTTCCTCTGTTCACCAATTTCCAACTCCATCATCTGTCTGCCTCAGAGTTGCTATCTCTCCTGATGAAATTTCCAGATCACTGCAATCTTCTCTGATATATTTACTAGGACACTTCCTTTATTTCTTTTCACCCCAAGGTTCATCTTACTTTCATGAGACTTTTTGATTGGTCAGCTTTCCAATTCAAGTTATTTTGGATCTTACAGTTTCTTATAGATTTATCCTTTTACTTTTTCACTTAACCCTGGGTTAAACAAAAGCTTGAAACATTTTTGCAATTTATCCAGCTTGCTTTCTGTGGGTTCTTTCAAGAGTATCGTCAGGATACCATGATATTTAGGTTTGACCATAAATTTTATTTCATTTCATGTTTGCATAAATTTAACCTTAATAGAACAAAGTGCATTGATACTCTTCATTTTTGTTCTTTTATTACTTTTACTTCTCCCCCTTCATCTTCTTACTTCCATTTACCTCTTATCTTCTTCCTCTTCTCCTCTTCTTTTTCTTGTAGTTCTTCCTTTTCTTTTCTTTCTCTTTTTCCCCCTTCCTTTGCTTTACATTTTTGTAGGATCCCTACTGATTGATGGCAGTTTCATAGATTTCCCACGTTGCCACAACTGTTCAGGAGCATAATCATGAATCATTTTTGGAATCAGTCATTATCATAGATTCATAATTTCTCTGCAGCTTAGTCTTTTTTTCTCACTTTTTGTTAAGCAATCTTTATAAATAGGTTTGCTGTCATGTATACTGTACAACTTTGTATTTGCTCGGTTTGTCATTACTGAGTGGTTTTTCCACTTTAGTCAAAAATTAAGATTCTGTTCACAATCTCATATGTAGCAGTATGCTCTTGATAATCTTTTCACATTTTCGAGTTGCAGTTGAATACAGTAACTATTTTCACATCAAATTAGGGACATGATGATAGCAATTTTATCATTATATCAGAGCACTTGCTGGTGCAAAAGGTGTGCAGAGTTCAAGTAAATGCTTAAATATGATGGGATATTGCAGTACCATATTTACTCATGATTGGAGAGTTAGTTATGGTATGCAATTAAAAAGTGTCAGGTGATGAGGGTAAAGCACATACATTTGCTAAATATTTCAAGAATCTTCAATCACAATTTCTAGAGTAGCCATTGGTATTTAGAGCAGAATTTTATCTCCCACTTTCTTCTTCACCAGCTTTTCACATAGAGGGATGCTCCTCTAGATAAGTTATCTGCACTCCCTTCTCCATTGCTTCCACAGCACTTGCTCCATTTTCCCCAGCAAGCTTCTGGCCTCTTTAGTCTCCCTCTTTTCCTCTGTTCACCAATTTCCAACTCCATCATCTGTCTGCCTCAGAGTTGCTATCTCTCCTGGTGAAATTTCCAGATCACTGCAACCTTCTCAGATAGATTAACTAGGACACTTCCTTTATTTCTTTTCACCCCAAGGTTCATCTTACTTTCATGAGACTTTTTGATTGGTCAGCTTTCCAACTCAAGTTATTTTGGATCTTACAGTTTCTTATAGATTTATCCTTTTACTCTTGCACTTATCCCTGGGTTAAACAAAAGCTTGAAACATTTTTGCAATTTATCCAGCTTGCTTTCTGTGGGTTCTTTCAGGAGTATCGTAAGGAGGCCTGTCAGATCTCAAATACTTTGAAGTATATACCATGATATTTAGGTTTGACCATAAACTTTATATCATTTCATGTTTGCATAAATTTAACTTTAATGGAACAAAGTGCATTGATGCTCTTCATTTTCATTCTTTTATTACTTTTACTTCTCCCCCTTCATCTTCTTACTTCCATTTACCTCTTATCTTCTTCCTCTTCCTCCTCTTCTTTTTCTTGTAATTTTTCCTTTTCTTTTCTTTTCTCTTTTTCCCCTTCCTTTGCTTTACATTTTGTAGGATCCTACTGATTGATTGCAGTTTCATAGATTCCCAAGTTGCCACAACTGTTCAGAGCATAATCATGAATCATTTTTGGAAATCAGTCATTATCATAGATTCATAATTTCTCTGCAGCTTAGTCTTTTTTTCTCACTTTTGTTAAGCATCATTATAAATAGGTTTGCTTGTCATATACTGTACAACTTTGTATTTGCTCGTTTGTCATTACTGAAGTGGTTTTTCCACTTTAGTCAAAAATTAAGATTCTGTTCACATCTCATATGTAGCAGTATGCTATTGATAATCTTTTCACATTTTCAGAGTTTGCAGTTGAATACAGTAACTATTTTCACATCAAATTAGGGACATGATTGATAGCAATTTTATCATTATATCAGAGCACTTGCTGGTGCAAAAGGTGTTCAGGTAAATGCTTTAATATGATGGGATATTGCAGTACCATATTTACTCATGATTGGAGAGTTAGTTATGGTATGCAATTAACAAGTGTGAAAATTAAGTTGTGTGTGATAAGTGGTTTCTAGGATAGAGACTTAACCAAAGTAGAATGAGAGGGGCACCTACATTCATGCAAGTGAACAAGCAACACAAATGCACTCTCTCCCACTCCCTTGCACACTTAATAATCTCACATTTACATCCATACACTTAATCACTCAATCTTTCACACTTATTTAACTTACTGACACACCCACTGACACTCACACATACAGATGTGCGCAGATATATGCAGCTGCAGTCGCATATACATCACAGATACTAACAAAATCAAGTGCACACTCATACAGATACACACACATATGCAGATGCACACATGTAGACATATGAACACATACTCACAGATGCAAATACACACACACACACACACCCACGCAAGCATGCACACACATGCACACACACAAACACACAGCCATACATATGTACAAAAAATAGAAGTACTGAGGCATATGAAAGCATCTCTCCTGTTCATCGGTATGTAGACACCTTTCCTCACCGGCTCCCATTCCAACACCTGACCGTGATCTTGATATTGCGATGTGATTCCCTTCCAGCCAATTTTCCCGAGCATGTGGTAGAGAAACTGCCAGAGGAGATCAGCACCGGCATCTACTTCGGGTGGGCAAAAGTTGACAACGGACCTACCCTTAAGATGGTTATGAGCATCGGATGGAACCCTTACTATAACAACAAAAAGAAATCAATGGTGAGTTTCAGGTTTTCTAATTAGGCATACTAGATCATTTGGTATGTTCAGGTTATTTAGATCTGTGTTGTTGATATTCATACATTTATCAGTTCTGTGTTTATATCAATGTGCACATTTATCTTATTATTATTGTTATTATTACTATTACTATTGTCATTGTTATTGTTGTTATTATTGTTATTATAATTGTTATTACTGTTATTTGTGGATAAAGAAGTCAGTTTGTTTGTTTTTCTTCTTCATGTTGCTGTACACATTGGCTCTCTGATACCCTTGTTTAATCCCTTTTTGCAAGTTATATGCACTATTTCAACTCACGCCACTCTTTGTAAGAGGCTGGAAAGAAAGACTGTTTGTGCATTTGATATGTAAAGAAAACTAATTCTAGAGGAGCAGTAGTTATTTTCATGTCAGTGTATGTACTGTATAATGAAAATGAGCTCTTTATTTATAAAAGTAAAATCATTATGAATTTTGTCTTTACTGTGCTTTACTTTTTTTTTTTTTTTACTGAATTACCTATTCCATTTTTGTTTTTGCTATTTTGAACTGGAAATGCATGTGCAGTGCAACAGTCAGATGAAGGAATGTTGTGCTGATCACATATCTGATTGCTGCATCTTTCATATTAATGCATGATTTTGTTGAATAATGATAACAGTCCATAAATATAAGTAAATTTCTTAAATGTATATCAGTTGAATTTGTTTAGTAAAATATAATGCTTTGTTTGATAGAATGGATAGTATTACACACATGCACATACACATGCATCCGCACACACACATACACACTCACACACAGATGTATGCACGCACACGCACACGCACACGCACACGCACACGCACACGCACACACACACACACACACACACACACACACACACACACACACACACACACACACACACACACACACACACACACACATGTATATTTCATGCATAATTTAGCTGTGTGTCAGTAATCAATAGACTCCAGTTAAGTTCACTAGAATTCCTGTAATGACACTCAGCATGACTCATCACATTGCTAATAGTTTTTATATCATGAACCTTATATAGGGAGTTTATTAGGCTTATTGGTCTCCAGGAGAAAGTATAGTCACCCTAGAGTTATTTAGTGACAACAAAAAATTGTTGGGTCGATGAAAGTTCTAAGTCAGGGTGATTTTGCATTCTTTCTCTCCTCACTCTATTGTTATTGACCTCAGGCCTAGGATGTGTGTGTGTGTGTGTGTGTGTGTGTGTGTGTGTGTGTGTGTGTGTGTGTGTGTGTGTGTGTGTGTGTGTGTGTGTGTGTGTGTGTGTGTGTGTGTGTGTGTGTGTGTGCGTGTGTGCCTGCCTGTGTGTGTGCCTGTGTGTGTGTGTGTGTGTACGTGTGCGTGTGTGCGTGGGTGCGTGTGCGTGCGTGTGTGCATGCATGCGTGTGTGTGTGTGCCTGTGTGTGTGTGTGTGTGCCTGTGTGTGTGTGTGTGTGTGTGTGTGTGTGTGTGTGTGTGTGTGTGTGTGTGTGTGTGTGTGTGTGTGTGTGTGTGTGTGTGTGTGTGTGTGTGTGTGTGTGTGTGTGTGTGTGTGTGTATGTATGTGTGTGTGTCTGTATGTGTGTGTGTGTGTGTCTGTGTATGCGTGTCTGTCTTCTATCATCTGTCCATGGAAGTGAATAAATGTTTCTTCTCATAGGTTCATTATTTTTGCAATAGACATGAAATTAGGTTACTCAACAACCATACAACTCCCATGTTGTGATCAGTATGAGACATTGTGTGTAATTATGGCTCTCATAAGAAAATTTAGGATCACTTCATGGATAATTATATTAGTAGATTTACAAACCTAAGGGAAATTATGCAGATGCATGCACTTCAAAATAGTATAGGTGTTTGGTATAAATGAAGTGTTTTAATTATTGTTCACTTAGAGATAAAAGTCAGGTATTGGACTTGATGAATGAGTTATACAGGAACAGCTGTGTCATCTTACCTGTCAGATGTCATTTGATGTCCGGGTATAAGGGCTGTGTGACATGACTTCACTGTGGCCCTTCACACACTCCATGTACATGCTTCTTCTTCTTCTTGTTCTTCTTGTTCTTCTTCTACTTCTTCTACTTCTTCTACTTCTTCTACTACTTCTTCTTCTTCTTCTTCTTCTTTTTTTTCTTTTTTTTTCAGTTTCTTACTCTCTCTACCCTTCTTACATTCCCCTCCCTCCCTCCCTTCCTCTCCTTGTTTCTTCCTCATTCTCTTTCCTTCGGGTTATGTCTTCTGGTTCCTTTTTTTCTCCCATATGCTTTCTTTTCCTCTCTGTCCCTCCTTTTCCCTCTCTCCTTCTCCCTCTTTTCCACTTCTATTCCTCCCTCTTTCTCTTCCTCTTTCTCCCTGATTCTTATTTCTATTAGTCTCAGTCCCTGTCTTACCCCCTTTCTCCTGCCTTCGCAATTGTTGTGTTTTGCTCTATTTCTCTACAATTTGAAATTTATAATCACAGGTAAAGTTTTCATAGTGTGTTTATTTTAGTAGTCATGTGAATAATTGGTTGCATGAATATGTGTCCTTAGAAAATGAAAGCTTGTGTGGTAGCATTGGTTTGGTAGTAAACAAAAGTCAACTACTGTATTGCTTTCAATGTTCTCTTATTTACAAGCAAGAGAACCACTGCTTTGATTAATGCAAAATGTCGAAAGGTTTTTTGTGGGAGCTTTGATCAACAGTCATATAGGAATAGTAATTTCTGTTCATTATTTTTTAGAGTGGATGTGTTGCTAACAAATCATTCTTAATTGGTAAGGGGAGCTGTGTTTGCTTTTTTATAATTTATTTTTTTGTTCTATTTCTTACAAATGTAATGCTCTGTCATTTTTTCATGTATGTTTTATTGTAGTAAATTTGTAAGTTCAAACATATTAAAGTAATAAGTAAATAAAGAATTTCAAAGTATGCAACTTTATCACCTTGTTATATTCTTAGGAAATAGGACTGTTATATGTAGTTATGTACTCTTATTCCATCAGCTTGTTTGCATGGATTGTTGAGAATTATAATCTACAGTATCTTTAGGCCATTATCTTTGTGCTTTCATAATAAGTACAGCATGAACATGTACTAATTATTGGATGTTGCTTTTTGGCTTTCTTATTTTAAGTTAGTTTGATACATTTGTTCAAAACCAAAACTTAGTGAAAGAACTTTCGCACAATGCATGAAACTATAGGCTTGTTAGCTTAATTCTTAAACTACTTATATGCAAGCAGCAAGCATGCAGTGCACCACTAATGGACTTCCCTCCCTGTCTTTTTTTTTTCTTTCTTTTTTTTTCTGCTTATTTTAGTTACTAACATTTACCTCTGTGTGTGTATGCACATGGGTGCACACATCAAAGGAGATTTACATCTTCCAGGAAACGCACATCATGCACGTCTTCGAGAACGACTTCTATGGATCTGAGCTGAAAGTGGTCATGCTGGGATATATTCGCCCAGAGGAAAATTATAATTCTCTCGGTAAGCATCACTGGTTTGGTTAGCACTCGTGTCTCAGGACTGTGGAAATGTAACACTAAGGGAGAAACCTTTTTATTGCATATGTGGATTTTAATACCACCATTGTTATTTTGCCAGAGCTATTGTATTTAGTAGTTATCAAAGGGTAATTTTCCACATTTCATGCCAACATGTGTTTTGCTTGCTTGTTGTTGTTTTTTTATTATTATTATTTTATGAAAGGGGGAAACATGAACACCCACTTTTATTTGTCATTTTGTTTCCATCCCTTTTTCTCCAAATAATTTGTCACAGCAAATACATGCTCTAGAGAACCACTAATTCACAAGACCTGGTAGGGGCAGGAATCTTACCGTGACTCAGGCTGTTTTCCTGAGCTTTGTCACTTATAGGCTGTAAAAGGAGAGATTATTGCCAGGAGCAGAATAGTAAGTGTGTGACTCCTCAGAGGTTAAAGAGATGATGTGGGAGCAGTTGACCGTTTTTTTTTTTGCTTTGCTTTTCCGGATTTCCTTTTCTTAATTCCTGTCTTTGTGTCTATTGGTTCTATCTTTTATGATTATTTCCATACTAAGTTA